AATCTGAGAGTCTGTTTATGAAATCGTGTAATGACAACATCTTTTAGTATAAATTGTGAAGTGTTTTTGCTTAGACCACTACTACTGCATCAATACTGTAACACTGTAACATTGATTTATTTTTATGGTGCCTGTTTGCTTTCAACAGAGTTCTGAGTAAGGATGCAGTCTCTTGGCAGGTGTATGTGTGTACATCTATCTACACATAATTTTTTATATTCTACATATATGTGTAAGTAAAGCAGTGTATTATCTCTTTCAGTTTTTGATTCAAAGGTATCTTTGTTGCCAAAACTATTAACAGAGACAATACAACAGAAAATTCTTTAAATAGAAAATTATGGCTGGACGATACATTAAGCTATTTTTCAGGTATCATAAAATTATGTGTTGGTTGCCTACCCCTTATATGGCAACATTAAGGAACTGGGTAAGAAGTGGGGAAGATACTTTTGTTTGCTGATGGCATTTATTTTGAAGCTATCAGTCTGGTCAGGTCACATACAGCCTTATACATCTCTAGCTGGCAATTAGATCTAACAGTGCGTAGTGTATGTGAGTGACTTTTCTGAACCTGAAAATAATCTAATGTTGTCTTTAGAGCTTGGTGCATATAAGGCACTAAGTTTTCTTGTGAGGTACTGATCAGCCGTGTCTTCTAGTGACTTTTTAGGTTGTTGGAAGGTGTAGCACCTTAAAGGTTCTGTAAAGTGTAACAGTATTCTGTACTGTGACCACTCAGCAGGACTGGGTGGGTTGTGGAGAGAATACCTCTTATTTAGGAATATAATACGTGACTGGAAATCACAAAGAAACACTGGCACAGCAGGATCAAGAGAGTCTGCACTGGCAGCATGCAACAGTGTGAGTTTAAAAGTCTCTTGAGACATCAAGAAGCAAGTCTGTCACTTGCGTGTAAAGTATATATGTCAGCTTGATTAAGGGCTTGGGTTCTTTAGTCAGAAGTATACTAGATGTTAGGGGAGTCCAAACCAATCCATATTAACAGTTTTCTTACAGGTGTTTCAATGCTTATACCAGTCATGATATTTCATGGCTCCTTTTTTTTTCCCTCTATTCCATATAGTATTTTGCATTTCCATACAAATTCTTCCAGCCTGACAGTCATGTATATTTCACTTTGTATTGAAATATTCACTCTATAATACAGAAAATTGTCAGTACCTGATTATTACATAGTTCTTACTAAAAATTAACAGTAAACCAATAGCTCCCTCTGTCCTCCCAATGTTTTCATTTTCCCTTTTGGGGGTATCTACTGATTAAAAAAGTAAAATGAGGGTTTGTGTCCTGTGCTTCTATAGAAATTATTGGGGAGCGGGGTGGGGGTGTGTGGGAAGAGGTTGGTTGTTTGGGTTTTGGTTTTTGTTTTTTTTCTGTTCTCTTCCAGATTTCAGAAGATGGTATCTTCCTAATTAGGAAATAATAATTTGTAATGCTATAAAAATTTAAGATATGATATGAACACTACCAATAGTTAACATGCTTTGAAATACAGTGAAACATCAAAGAGTACTGATTTCAAACTAGGTGACTGAGACACTTGATGTACAAATTTACACTAAAGGAGGAGGTTTTTCAGTTTATCCTTGTTCTCAACACAGTGCATGGTAGACACGTAAACAAAAATTAAACCTACCTGTAAATTTAATACCACACTGTCATGAATGTATCACTCCTGTGAGAAGAGAAAAAAAAAAAAAAAAAAGAGGTACTGCTTATGTTTTGGCACTCCTCTCAGTGCTGATTTAAAAGCTTTTCCTATAGCAATTCAGTATCATTACTTTAAAAGATTGCCAGCTAATTCTCTGCTGATAAAGCAGTGTAAAAATACTCAAAACTTTCTATGTTTAGGTCACTTTTAAGTTTCCTTTAGACAAATGCAATAGATAGTTTTACATACTTTTGATACCAAATGTCCAGAGCAGTATTTATGCTTGGATTTCTCTTCCAAAAGGAAAGTAAATTGTTTTAATTTAAATGAGAATATTTATCTTCCCCTGCTTATAAACCAGAGGTTTCTGTGTTTTGTGACTTACGCTAATGTTTAATAAATTCACAACTTCGCCGGTAAGCAAATACTTTTGCTGTAGCTAGTCATGCCATATCAGCTTTGTCAGTGGCTCGTCTTATGTTTATCCCTGCTTCTGATCTTGCTGCTGTTAAAAATCAGTAAGAAAAATCCAGTTTGCTTGGCAAAGAGCATGGGTGTAAGGTACTCTTCATTGCTGTGTGTCTTTCAGCATGATGATGCACTACAATTTCTTTTGCCGTAGGGAAATTCCACTTTTCAGGGGATACGCAATGTGCTGGGTTTTTTCTTGCATAATTCTTTAGTTCTGGCGTGCAAACTTGATTGCAGAGTGAGCATCTTTATCTGACATTAGATGTGTTGTGAATAAGCTTAGTTTTAATGAGGAATTTTCACTAACTTTCGAATTACATCTGTATACTGCCTTGTGTATGTAAGTTCTCAGCTGTTCAAGGTACACTCTTGCTGACCTCTTGAGCTGTTAACGTACACTTGAGTAGGCTGAATGTTCCTTGGGTACACTGAAGATTGATACATCCCAGGCCTTGACAGCTGTAGTGTTTTTCTGTGCCAACTTCAGACAGTCTAAGCAGCCCTTTTTTGGAAGAAATTGTTTGGCTCCCAAGACCATTCAGGGAACAGCCTTACCAAGTCCATTAATTGTGCCAAGAGTTTAAAAAGGCTGTTTAAACTTCTTTTCATCTTAAAACTGTAATAATTTCTGTCTAATACTCATTCTGTTATACAAAATGCTTAATTACTTATAGATTTAAATGAAACACTTTTAGCTATTAGAATGGTTGGTATGTTAAAGAGAAGTAAGCCATGTTTTATGCTAACTTACCATTCATTGACCAATGTTTTAGTTATGTTTTATTGTTGTAATGAGAAATTTTGTACATTTCCATGTAAACTTTATATAAATAAAGTTCACAGATTTTTAGCTGCAGATGATGTTTTATTTTTTTTCTGGTAACGTGTTTGAAGATGCTGTCCTTATTCTTTTAGCAGAAAGGCCACTTAGGCAGGGCACTGCTTTGTTTTGTGTGCATTTACAGAAATACAAATATGCAGTTAAAGGCATTTGCTGATTTAGATTAGAGTATCTGTTGATAGAATTACTGCATTGCTTTATAGTTCTGTATGTGCTCATCCGTAGGTTCCAGTAGTAACTTTATATACCAGTTCCTGCCATCATCAAAAATAAACAGCATTTATTGAAATGGTGTTGTTTTGCAGTTCTGGAAATTCCAGTGATTTTTCACTTATTTCCAGGCAAGTTGGGAAGATTTTTGATTGTGTGGGGTTTTGTGAGGGTTTTTTTTGCTTGTTTGTTTGTTTTATTTTTTTTATTGGACACTACTTACCCTGTTCTGTTTACCTGTTTCTTTAAAGTTTATTTAGTGCACACTGTTCACATTCAATATTCCTTACTGAAAGCTTTTTTCTTTTTAAGTTAGGATGGCTTTTTCATTCCTACTTCATCTACTGTTCTTTCAGCACAGACAGAAATGTTGCAGAACTTAGTTATGTAAGGAGTGGCAATTGCACTGACATGAGTACAACTTGGAGTTGGTTTTACTCTTCCTTCGACAGCTTTGAAAGTAATCTGTGAAATAATTATAGGTGCTCAGTTAATCTGAACTGCTTATTCAATTAAAAGAGATCATTTGTACCTGAGTATCTGTGTTCTCATTAGGAAGACAACGTTCATGGCAACTTCATGTTTTATAGATTATCAAAAGGCCAGTTTCTGTGAGGTTTGGCAAAGTTAAGGTATTAACTAGGTTGCCAGAGACTCAATATGAGCTGGATACTCAGCAAAAATCATGGAAGGGATGTGAACATTTCCCTCTTGTTGTATTGTACATATGTATACTTTGTACACATTTGTTCATTAGGAACAATTCAGTGTATGTTACTGTAGTTTCCCTTTTTGTCATTTTTTGTAACGGAGGAATGCTATGCTTGGAAATACGTGTCTGAAAGTTGTACACTATTCTGTGTGCACAGAATCTGATGCTTTGTGCTGTTCCCCAGCTGGGACCTGGAGGGTGCAGGAACATGCAGGGTAGGAGAAACAGGCAGCCACCACTGCTTGTAGTCAGTCTCATGACATTAGATAGTGCTTCTTGGAGTCATGCAGAAGCCCAAGTATCTCAGCTCTTCTAATAAATAAATAAATAAGCGGAAAACCCAACAGCTGCTTCTGTGGTCGTGTATACAGGACAGTAAAGGGAAAAACTAAGGAAGCCTGATGGTAAGCAAATCCAAATCTTTAAACAGGCAAACAAAACTGAACTGAACAAAGCTCATGAGCTCATAAATCAGCATCAGAGACTTTGTTTGTTTGTTTGTCTCAAGATTTTCGAGCATTTGCAGATGGAATACTGTTGGCACTTCGTTATCTGTGGACTCCTCTGTGCTGTAATGACTTCATGGCCTAATGACTAATTCACTAGTAATTTTAAGTAGTTTAGTGTAAAAAATACACAGTGAATTGTGTATTAAAGATACAAAAAATATTCAAGCAGTATTGTCACTTCAGTTCTGCTCTCCATATTGCTGATTAACTGAGATATTTGAATTAAAATTATTTTAAAATTACACTTAGACATAGTTTATTAGATTAGTTCCTTACATGTAAAGAGGCATCATTTAGAGTGTAAGAACTGCTGACTTACTGTCCCTCTAAATAATTTAAAAGAAATCACATTTCCACTGCTATTATTTAGTGAGGGTTTTTTTGGCTTTGTGTTTTTTCTTTGCTGGGCTCACAACATAAATACGAGATATTTTTAGATGTTAAAAATACTCAGAATCAGTGTTCTGTATCGATCTTAATGCTTTTTGGAAGCCTGCAGCGGTTTTTACAAATCTGGAAAACATTTTTATTTTTCATTCTGTTTCTTCCTGAGAAGCAGCAGTAGGTCATGCATGGTTCACAATGTGCACACATTGCGACTTTTCAGGTGGCATGGTAAGGCATTTTCAGAACATGGTGGCTTTTTTGAGGACACATGAAAAAAGTGGACACTTTTAATAGTCTCTCAGACTAGATATGCAGAGATCCAGTCTTCATTCTGCAGAAGTGCTAAAAATAAGTTCACTTTCAGCTAGGAATTGAGTTAAAAGAGAAACAGTAAGCTTTATATTAATTAGGGTACTCAGTGCAGGCAAAAAAAGATGGATATCCACCTTTTTCTTAAAAAATGAAAATACAACCTCTCATTGTGTGCTATCACCTTATGCTACTTTGTATCCTGCATACCTGGATCTCTGCGTATCTAGTCTGATCTTAGCACACTGATAAATCTTGGTAAAAGTCTGCTAGCTTTAGAGACATCTTTTGATTTCATATTGAAGATAGTTGTTCTGAAGAAAGAGAAACATTAAGATGGAGTTACTATCATTCACTGGAACCAATACTGCTTGTAAAGTTCAAGTCTGCTTCCTACAGGCAAAACCGATTGGGAGCAAATGAAAAGAAAAGATAGCAAAAATACAAAAAGCAATTTCTGCTCCTGAGATTTACTCTAATCATACAGTATGTGGTCTTTATTGGCTCATGTGAGGCCTGTCAGACTTGTAGTTCTGTTTAGCTGTTTTGCGTTTTAGATGACCATTGCTTTGAGCTGTTCCAAGTCATGGGTGCACGGTACTGTGACCAAAGGTGCAATCTATTCTTATTCATAAAAAATGAGAAATCAGGGAAAGAAGAAATTTAAATGGGAGAGCTCTGTGGAAACGAAACAGTGGAGTTGAAGAGAGGAACACAGTTCATCTGTTTCATTTGATAATCAGGATTAAGATACAGTTGTGCAGAGATGAGATACTGTTTTGTTTGTTCAGCTGTTTTTAGTGAGATTCTGGTTAACTAATGACACCTGTGATATCTTAGTAGATTCTTAGGTTCCTGAAGTTTGGGAGTAGAAGGAAGCATGGAATTGAATAGCTGTAATAGTGTTGGTTTTCCATTTAGGTTATGTATTGTCCACAGGCAAATTCTATTTCTCTCTAACATTCAAACACTAGTAAAAGGTAGACTAAGGTGCACTCCTGTGATTTTTACCTATTGAACAGACCTAGCTGCCAATACGATGGTGTTAGCTTACTAATTTCTAATTTTATGTTAGGCTGTTTTTATCAGGTTTGGTCTTAGTCCAGCCCATGGTTTATGTCAATACGCTTTCTTTTTGTTCTCCTTCTCTTGATCTTTTCCTGTTCCCTGCCCCTCACCAACATTTTTACCTAATTAACACATTATGGGTTTAGTTTTTAACATAACTATATCAATATTGGTGCTTCCAGTAATAGAACTGTGTTGGAATAAGAATATACCAGTACAAAAATGTGTAGTAGAAAATATAAATCTGGAAAAGCTTTTAGCTGACACCTGGTTTTCACAAACTTTCTTCAGTGTATTTTTAAAGAACATTGTTGTCTTGCTCTCACTTGAGAATTTTTTAGAAGCTTTTATATAAATGCAGGTTAGCTTGAGTGTATGTTAGAAGAGTGATTTACTGTCTATTTTGAAATAAAATCTAAGAGCTGCATATGGTAAAACTTAATGTTGAAGTATGTGTTCCAAGCTTAATGTTTATTAATAGAAATTATACCCTGCTGCTAGAAGTAATTGATATAGTAAAAGGCAACCTTGTTTGAGTAATGTTGATTTCTGCTGCCTTGTGTCACACTGTGTATTCTTTTATTGTTGATTGTAGGTCTTTGTCTTCCTTCAAAATTCTATATGGTTAAAACTTTGTTTATTCAAGAGAACTGTTTGCCATGGGATTTTTTATTCAGAGGACAGCGAGTAACTTGAAGGGAATTCTCACCAAAATAGAGGGGGTTTTATAATTGCTTTTTGAATATGCACTTTTTTGGCCTATAAAAGGTGTAGCATATATTTAGTGTATTTTTGTCTTTTTTTCCTGTTTCTAAGGCTGATAAAGAATTTGTGTGGTCTCTGTGGAAACGTCTCCAGGTGTCAAGTCCGGATCTTACTCAAGCTGTCAGCTTGGTTGTGGAAAGGTGAGTTTAAAGATTTAACGTGATGCTAAAACCAAAACCAAACAAAACCCCCTTGCTGATACCATATTCTTTATCTTTTTGATTGAGAACTATGTAGGTTTTTAAAAATGTGTTAAAAAAATTCCATTGTTAAATTTTGTCAAGAGTGCCTGGAATATGTTACAAGTTTCCTTTTTTGGTATAAGTTGAAGTATACTTCAAAATCTGTTTTCGCTGAGGTTTCTGTGCTGCAGTTGAATTCAGTTTTTTAAATTATAAATGTACTGCATGTTCTGTTTTTCTATTAAAAGAGCAGGAGGTGGTAAATGACGTTTTTTGGTGTTCTAAGTGTTTGGATAGCAGTTACATATGTAAATTATATTTATTTGCATTCTTAAAGAAGTAGAAGTCTAAGATATGGTAAGAGAAGCAATGACTATGCAGTTTAATTATAACTTCTCTAAGGACATTAATGATGACAATTTCTTCATAGTACTTACATATCATCATCTGATTGCTACAAATGTTAATTAATCATCACAGTATGTGACTGGTTGTTTTAGAATGCTAATATTTACAAATTCAGAATTTTTTTAGGCCAAATATAGGGAGAATGTGAATGAATTGGTAATGTGACTGCCAGAATTCAAACACTTGATTATAGTAAAAAGATTTGTCTGTTCTGTCTCTCAGGGTGCCATGACCTCCTTTATTAAAATGAAAAAGTGAATTTTTTTAAAAAGAAAAAAATGGATTTTAACCTCTTTAAATGGCTAGCCAACATTACTTGGGAAGCCTGTCATAAAGCAAGGAGGGGTACTAGCTACTTTGGGTTCCCATTCAGTGCTTTGATCTTGAAAGGCATGTTTTGTTTGTTCACACCTTTCCTTTGTGGATTTGATCAGTAAAGGTTCTTTCATTTCTGCAAATATAACGTTAAGTTCTTTAGCTGGGAGTGCATTCATTATTGCATAAAGCAATGAAAATTTTGTCCAAAACCATGGTGTGTTCATGTAACTAGAGCTAATATGCTAAAGCATTCCTATCCAGTGGAAGAAGTTGATGGTGTAAGCACATGCAGCTTGTTTTAAGACAGCTGTTGACACCAACAATGGTGTCAAGTAACTTCTGGCTCTGTACTGGGATGCTTACCTGCAGAGAGGAGTAGCTTGGCTGTTAGGACAGTGTACTACTTTCATGTTGCTTGGATGTTTTGATTTGGGAAGTAATTTTAATACATGAGGAAGACTTAGGAAGGATTTACAGTGTTCCTCACTTATGTTGAAATGCAGATTCTTACTGACTTTTTTCATGATAAAATTTCGTCGTATTTTCATGAGGACAGTAGTGGTAGTATTGATCTTCCTTCTTCAAACACTGAAAAAAATGTGAGAACTGTTTAAAATGTATAAATATAGTATTTAATGTATGTTAACATGTATATAAGCACAAGTATATTGAAAACATTAAAAAATTGTTTTGCCTTAACCACATTTTGTAGATAGCTGAGCAGTATGGAAAATTTTAGCTCATTTACATGAAGCTTAATAAGGTAGAAACAGAGATATTCAGGCTTATATTAACATTTTTGATTCATGTTGCATATAAACAATCAGGATATTAGAAGAAATTGAAGCGTAGAGTTGTTAGAAAGCATGCATATAAAAAATGCTGAATACAATGAATTACTTGGAGTTTTGGAATTGTATGCCTATATAAGATACAGTCTGTCTTGTTTATCCTTCATGTCTAGGAATGTTTTTATGCTTGGTAGTTATCCCTCGCTTTAAATGATTTTATACTTTATTTAGAACAGAAATTGATAACTGTGTGTGCATTACCCTGACTGATACAATGAAAATGGTGCTCTTAGATGCCATCTTGATAATGAGCTGAATTTTTTTACAATGGTAGGAAATATTTGTGAAACCCTTTTCATGTAGTGTTCAGCCTATCAGAAGACTTGCTACAGAAATCTGGTGTATAATAATAGTCTATTATATATGAAGGTAAAGATATATTCTGTGTACGTGCTTTGCACTTTGTGTAGAGGCTGGTGATTTGTACTCTTATGTGAAAGCGTGACAACATACTTCTATTAAGGTGCTTGTCTAGTTTTTTATGTCTTCTCAAAATAACAGCATTGCTTTAGAACACCTGTTGTGAACTCAAGGTTATACATCTGTATCATACCTTTCCCATGCTTTTTAGAGTTATGGAATTAAGAAAGAAGAAGTTGCTTCCACAGCATTTTTTTAGGTTTTATAATTACTCTGGAGAATCCTGGATTAGGTTTGGATAAAACCCATTCAGTATATAGGAGTATTATTAATCATGACTTTGAACTTGGGGTTGCTTTGATTGGACAGATGGAGGATTGGGTGTGTATTTTTCTCTTTAAATGATGTAGTTTCATCTCTTTTGCCTGAAAATGGTCTAATTGCTGCTTTGGAAATAATTTCTAGCCCAGCTTTACCTGTGAATCTTCTGCACAACCAAATTACAGCCCCATATATTCTCTCCTAATTTTTCCAGGTATAACTTTCCATATTCTTCTCCTAAGTAGCTTCTGTTTCGTGACTGTACCTCTGCACACTCTCATCCTTTCAGAAACGTTTTTGTGTTATTCCCAGCTTTATAGCAGTAATTTTTTATTTTTTTTTAATATCGCTACTGTGTCAGTTTATCTCAGTTCCAACATGTTGATTAGATTTCCAGGGAATGTGCTACCTAGCACTGCTGCTGTCCAGAAAATTACAGGACAAGTGATTTTCTGGCTTTGTTAATCTGGGAAGAATATGTGGATTTAAAGGGTAAAGAGATGGATTTACCAAGTAACAGTTACAAGCAAAACGATTCCTGAAGCATGTCACTCAGCAGATCTGTGCTGCTCACAGCCTATTTTTCTGTATTCTACACGGTTGTATCAAGAGGTAGAAATTGAAAATTTACACTGAAATCTCATAAAAACCAGCTTGAGTCATCTTAGAGACTTCTCCTTTCTCATCTATATTAGGAACAACATTGATCCAGTCCTATCCAAGTTGATAATGTTACCCATCTTGCCCTGGATTACTAGGAGATTTTAAGATAGATAGAAACAGAATGAAATGAGTTTAAACCTTTTGTTGTTTCTGCTTGGGACTGTGTGACATGGATATCACCAATGTTTGCATAGCTTCATTTCTCAGTGTGTTCTTTCCACTAAAAATTCCATAACTCAGAAACTTTTGATGCCCACCAAGTCTTTGTTATAGATTACCTGAGACCAGAAGCCAGCTACCTAATGGAAGCAGACAGAATTGAATAAAGCATAGTCATGTGTATCCTAGATCATATGTGTAATGAACCAAACAATATTGTCCAGTGGATTTCAGTCTTTAAACTGACGAAAGCAACAGACAGACTTTCTTCAGGAGAATACAGTGACAGGAATAAAAAGATCCAAGTGCAAAAGGACAAAATGTTCACTTACAGCCTGGTACACTTGATGTGTGATGAAGAAAAAAGAAAAAATATATATTAGGAGAAATTGAGTGGGCAGTACTGGCCATAGAGTCAGGTAATTTATATTTGTAGCATTAGACAATTCCTTATAGTATCTTTTTCTCAAATAAACCAGGAAAATGTAAAAGGCATAATTTGGGGATCATAGGGGGGAATTAATAGTAGGTTTCCATTATTTGAAGTGCTTTCATGGTCCCAAAATAGAAGTTCGCCTGCCCTAAAATTGTAAAAATGTAGCTAGTACCTTTTTATGGCTGTGCTGTTGATTCCTGTAATGCACCAATGATATTTTACTTTTCAGCAGTCTTTGCAGTTCTTGCTGGATAACTGTAACTATATTCCCATTTTAATATTCAGATATAAACAAAAAATTATCTTTACTGTGCAAATGAGAAATGCCTTTGGGATATGTAAAAGCCTCCAGGTATTTTCAAACAAGCCATTGTAAAAGTACTGCTCGTGTTAGTATACTTTGCAGCTACTTTAAATACTATTGATCTCGGTATTATGTAAAGAGTATGCTATTTCTAGTTCACTGCCTTTTGAAAGATTCTTCTTTTTTTTTTTTTTTTTTTTTTTTTTTTTTTTTTTGTATGATGAGTTGAAAAAAAAAAAGTGCTAGAAATACCTTTTACAGGTAAATGCATGTGTAAACCCAAATGGAGTTGGGGTTCAGATGAGAGTATCAAAGGTTTTGAAATATTTTTGTAAACTTTGAGAGCTCTCCTTTAAGAATTTTTCTCTTATAATTAATGCAATCTTGACAGGTCAACTGACTCTAATTTTCCTCTAGGGCTTCTAGCTGACTTCTTTCCTTTCTTCTGGAAAGGAGATGTAGCAGGATCCATTAATGATCAAACTGTGGCAGTGATACAAGACTTGGTAGACGTTAAATGGGGATTGTGTTATGCTAGATGATACCTTTGCAGATAGTTACATTTTGCAAGCTTGCCTTATGTAAATGTTTTTCCACACCTAAATTCCAAATGTGCTATGTCTTTCAAGTCTTAACAAAGAGCAAGAATGGATTTATCATTTCAGGCCACTCTGAGAAACAGTGTCAACCTGAATGTTAGTGACAGTGATTAGGAGAGAGTTTTGTTGTTGTTCTTGGGGAGTTAGATCTGTCTAAAGGTATACCAATGGATGAAGAAAACATGGCTGAAGAGCAATCAGAAGTGATCAGAAATAACCAAAGAACTTTTGGAAAGGTAGTCACTGTGGTTTGCTGTATCCTGTGAATAGCAAGTTGTGGAAGAAACATTAAACAGGTTGACATAGATTCCTCACTGACTGATGATGTGCAGATGTACTAAAAATGGCAAGTGCTTTTTATGTAAAAGGGTAAGTGAATGTGCTGTATGAATGAGCAATATAGATTGCTGACGTTAATTGAAAAATAATTTAAAAACCTGTGTCTTGCATCTTTTGAAGGGATGATAAGTAGCTTGCAGAAGCTTTCTTAAACCACTTAGCATTTTACTCTTGTGCAAATTAACAGGAAACAGAATGAC